TATATATATCGTAAAAATTATGCTTAACTTCAATTTTAATAAAATTTGATTTTCTTTTAAATTTTCATGATCAAACGTTTATTTAATCTCAGTTTAGAAATAAATAGGAGGTCAATGTCAAGGATCTTCCTCACGTATTGCATGGGGATTTTTCGTTTTGATGAAATCAATTACTAGTTTGACTTGCTCATAGTGATTGGCATGATTTGTCGGTCGTCCAAACGCTAAATATCGACTGGCTACGCATTATTCGCTTTGGCTTAATAGACTTTAATAATTCGTTTTTAGATTATGAAATTATCGAGCTTAAATTTGTCTCATTTTAATGTAAAATTTACTCAAAAGTGTCATTTTTTTAACCAATTTATCAGTCTTTCTTTTTACTCCACTATCATATATGAAATACCCTAAATTCATATAGCCTGATTTCAATTTGTTTACTACTATTATTATTGTATACCTGATTAATTAACTTTTATCAATTAAATTATTTTTTAAAAAAATATGCCAAAATGGAGGAGACTATATCTTTGAACCACAGAAGGATGTCGGACACTAATTTATCATTGACTTCTATATCGAACTAAACAACTTTCAGTGCGATTTATTTATATCTTGTACTTTTTTTGTCTTTGAACTTATTATTTCAATGAAATGAAAAGATTAAAACGAGCTGCCTCCAATGCTATTTGTATTATTTATAGCATTTAGAAGTTACAGAAACACAATAATTGACATCTTGTCATACATGCTATATAAACTTATCATGATTGCCTTTTTAAGAGTTCTTCTTTAATTTTCACCTGATAAAAAATATCAAGTAATTTCTTCTCATCTATTTTATTTTGATGTACAAAATTTATGTTATATTTATTCAAATTCACGTAAACAACCCAATAACAAATTTAATTTAAAAATCTCAATATCAATCTCTAGTCGGAAACTTTTGGGAAGCTCATCATCCTTTTTTAAGCAAAGTAAATACAAATGTGATGACATTAAAGAAGGTAAATCTTGATTGACCAATGGGTATTGCCACTAGTTAATAATAAGATCAATTTTTTTCATATCGCACTTATTGCCGCCATGTGAGTCCAGACACATTAGTCTAGAATTAGATTGAGTGGATTTTGGTAAGATTTCCACTCATTAATTATCTCAATACACTTTACAAGAGTATGTTTGTCAATTTCAAATATTCAATGCTCTTCCCTAGTGTTAACCAAATCTTTATGTACAAAAAATCATTTTAAAATGCAACTACTACATAAAAGTTACTCCATTTGTCTATATTATATCGAAAATAGTTATTTAATAATACATGTTTAGTATAGAAAATCAAGAGATAACTAATCTTTTATGTTTGTCTTACCTTTTGTATTAACTATTATTCAATAGTATCTACATTTCTCAAAAGCATTTTTAATATATTCAAAGAGTAATTAGATAATATTATTTTTATTATTTATTATTTTTTAGAAAATATATGTCAAATTAATAATGAACAATTATTATTGAATAAATAGAACAATTGAAATATTCTTTTTACTTTGCTTAGAGGGGATATTGGGGTCTAAAAGTAAAAGTACAATGATTTGTAGAAATCTCAAACTCCCTCTTATATATATATATATATTCAATGAAACAGTGTAACACTCATTCACTCAACATGAATCCGTCCCTGGCCTCACTTCGCCCTTGTGAAAAAGGGTTCGGATCTTACTAATTGAGAAAGATAAAAGAAAAATAAAAAGAATAAGATATCAAGTCATGTAAATTCGTCAAAAATAAATTTCAAAATGAATTCTATCAATTTTATTTATTTTCCATTCGAACTATGCGTACATATATAACAAATCAAGTTATCAGTAGTATCACTATGATAAAAATAATTTTTAGCAGCATTAAATATTGTCATTAATAAAGAGTGTTAAAATTTTTACCGACATTAGTTAAGTATCATTAGAATCAATATCGCTAAAGATTTTAGAAACATACATAAAGAGTGACAATTAGACAATTGTCGTAAAAATATATATTTAGAAATAATTAAGAATTAATTATCGCGAATGATTATTTTGTTAGTAGTGTATATGCCACACTTAACTTTACATTTATGCAGAAAATTGGAAGATAAAGGTTAGAGAATTTCAAGTCACGATTTTTTGTCAAAAGGCAAGATTTTCTTTAGAATTAAGCATATTATAATGGAGAAAAAACCATTCATCATTATTATCAACCCCCCCCCCCCAAAAAAAAAATTAATTAGTAGGAGTATTAAAAAATAATTTAAGTTATGGGAGCAAGGCTTGGTGGAGGGGGAAGGTGGTTTAAAGTGAAGATGATGGGTGGAGCACAAATCTTAAAAATTAAAAATGAGTCGAAACATATAATCAAGGGATTTGTCATTAAGGGCCCTAGTTTGACAATTAAATTAGCTGTCTAATCATGGGATTAGGGATGAGAATTAGACTTAACAAAGTATTAATTTAAGTTGAAGAGTCAAAACAATTGAGTCTTTGTGGCTCATCGGTATATTATAAATATCATCTTTGTGATCTTCTCCACCTATCTCTTTTCTCTTTCCATAAAAAAGAACTAAAATTGAAAGAACTTAGGAATGACAAAATTTAGGAAATTTTAGTAATGACAGACTTTATATTTTGTTGGTTTCAGAATATTATTTTTCTCCATTCTAAGCTTAATAGTCATAATTACATTTTCATTGGATTATTGCTTTAAAAATAGGTCTCACAAAATCTTTTAAATACATATTCAAATACAATTTTATTTTTAAATATTTTCTTTTTTCTAAAATATTATTGTTTGGAGTGGGAAGGGGGGGAGGGGGTATTTCTAGAGATTTTCTTTTTAAATAAAATATAATAACAATTAATATATTATAAAATACAATAATAAAGAAATCGTATAAAAATAAAAATAGTGAAGAAAGAAAGAAATCATTTTTAAAAAAAGAAAGAGGGAGTGGTTATTGTTGTAGCCATCAAGTTAAAGGCACACTCGTGCAAAGAAATGAATAAAATAAATGGTGAAGTGTTATCATCTAATCATACGATAAAAAATGTTCTATGAATATGCGTGCATTACTCCCATTTCATTATTATTTTATAGAAATTTAGAAAGACTTACACTTTCTGACATTTCTTTATTTTTCTTCGTATATATTTTTTATTTGTTGCCTTGTTTGATTTAATATATTAGTATTTTTTAAAAAAAAGTTACGATTCAAGATAATTTTTTTATTCTTGTATGGTTGAAATAATTTCACCAAGTATAAAAGAAATATTTGAAAATTAAATTATTTTTAATTAGAATATTTTACTCTTAATCAGAGGTCTCAAATTTGAGCTCTGAAAATAAGAAAAATTGATTAAAATCATCACCCTCCGATGAACTTTGTAATGATCAATTCAAATTTAATTAAAGCTTTGAGTGAAAAAAAAAAGGTAAAAAGGAGTCCTGTTTTATTAATGGACCTCAGGATCTGATCTATATATTAAAATATTTGTCTGGCCTAAACGATCTTTTCCAATGCATATATATTGACCTGCCACCTCAATTTTTGTTTATGTTTAGCTTATTTTAGCTACACTTCAAATGGAACTCAAAATATTCAAAGTGGGGCGCTTTATTAACCTCAAAATTCAAATATTTTCAGAGTACGATTTCCTTTTATTAGGAGAAGTCACCTTTTTTTGGGTACTAATGGTGTATATGATAAAAAGCAAAGTATTTTTAATAAACTAAGTGAATTTAAAATATATTGATATATAATATTATTTATATATATCATTTAAAATAATATTATGAAAGGTAGAGGAGGTAGGAGTGTGGAGTGGTATGATAATTGATAAGGACGACGGGAGTGATAATATGTCTATGAAAGGACGAAGATGAGATCATCAAGAAGTCACTTTTCTCATTTTAGAGGACTTATTTTTTACAAATAATATGGTTTTGCGAGATGATAGGTAGGGTAGGGGTTGATTTACACATTTGTTCTTATTTTATTTCAAATTTTTATCCCTTATAAAAAAAAATTTCGTTAATATATTATTTTTATATTATAGTATCCCAAAAAATTATGATGATTGAAGCATGATTATAATTTCTAAGGGATTTATGGTTGATTAGGCATATGTTTGATTTTTACTAAAAAAATAAATATATTATATACTAATCTATTTAAAAAGTAAAAAAATTAAAATATACAAATTCATTTGAAAAATTAAACGTGCAATTTTTTAGATGAAAAAAGTCTTACAATTCACAAAGCTTTTTATTTTATTTTTTACTTAAGGAGACTTTGTGTTAAAAAACAATCCAAGTTGATCATTAATTTTCAAGTTAAAAAGCAAGCACTATGTTAAACCAGTTGAGTTGGGCAAAAAGAAAAAGTCATAATATTATCAATCTGAATAAAGGGATCAAAGGGAAGAGGAAAACCTTTTTAAACAATAATAAACTACTTTTGTATTGTGATCACTTAATTAAATATATTTCTGAGTGCTTATCTAAAAATAAAATAGCCTCATCAACTTAATCATATCTTGCTTGTCTAACTTCTTATTCTAATCATTAATCTCCAAAATCATCTTTTTTTGAACCCACACAATTAATTGATAATTAATCAACATCAAAAGATATACTCACAATATCTCTTCACTTATCTTTTTTTAAAAATAAAATAAAAATAGTAAGTACAAGCATAGCCTACTTAAGTTATCAAAAAGACAAAATAAAAAATACAAATAACAATTATATGCTTCAATTCCATATAAATCATGATAAATTTGTCCGTTGATTTAAACTCTATCTCAATTTGATCTTACATAATAAAGTTACTCATATCATTGGTACTATTCTCCAACATCCTCCTCAAAAACTCTTCTTAAGCAAAAAAGCAAAAAAATATATATATATATATATTTCGGCAAAAAAGAGGAAACTAATCCTCTAAAAACCAAAAATTAATTTCTCTAAGTAGTCAAAGGTGTTAATTTGACTTGAACTCCATATTTAGGCTTAATAGTGAGGACAATTACAGGTGCATGACGATAATTCTCTGAAATAGTGAATCGAAATTTCGATATTAACATTGCTAATATAATCTTAGCTTCCATTAGGGCAAATGATTGTCCAACACAATTCCGAGGACCGGCGGCGAACGGAAGAAAATTCCGTCCGGCAGTAAAGGGCTTAGAGGCAAAACGATCAGGCCTAAATTCATTTGCATCTTTTCCCCAAATTTCTTCACTGTGATGTATGGCAAGTACTGGAATCCATATTGATAATCCTTTGGGTATATTAAGATCACCTAATTTGAAATCCTCAAATGCCATTCTTGGAAGTACAGTCGCTGGTGGATATAGTCGTAACGACTCGTTGATTATCATACTCAACTGCAAAAAAATAAAAATTATTTATATTATCGGTGTATATAAAATTAAATTGCGAACCAAGAAGAAGGAGCCAAAAGGGCTTTAGGAATATTTTAA